CGCCTTAAGAGCGTCCTGGCATATAAACGGGGGTGGGGCCAGATGGGGGAGGAGGGAGACGGGGAAGATGGGCGGCGCTGGCAGGGGAGAGGGGGAATAAAAAGAGGGGCTCTTTGAGAGGACCAGGGAGGAACAGCGTGAGAAGGAGACACTACGCACGACGGCTAGAGAGAGAGCAAGGGGCGAGTCATCTCCAGCCCACGAGGCAGAGGGACCTGAGGGGTGCTGCTAACCCCATTCCCTGCCTGTCTGAGGTCCTACCGCAGCTCCCTTTGGTGAACCCACCCCGACTGCCAGCGCAACCCAGCCAGACGCCACGGCCACCGGTGGAAAACACCCCCCCCCAGCGCCCAGGAGAGGCTCGGCACAGGAGGAATATTTTAAATGTCGCTCAGCTCAGCAAAAGTAATTTTCAGTGATCAAACAGTGGTTGGTTTCCTAAAGTTATTTAAAATATACTAACTATAAAAGGGGGAGATTAATATAGCTCTTTGCTATCCACTGTGATGAGATGTAGGAAGCGACAGTAGTTAGAGATTTATGAGGATCATCCCAGTGGGTTGCACTCTCTTACAGGTGTGTTGCAGGAGGGAGGAAAATGGAACAGGTTCGACTGGGAGAGGAGCTCTGGAACGTTTGATAGGGAATTTGAGTTTGTCTCCACATACTATGTAAAATGGCCAAGAAATGCAGCCTGGTACTCAGTAACATTACATATCAGTTTATATTTTTATATATGTATGTATGTCAAAGTATGTAAAAGGTAAACATGAAAAAATATAAACTGATTCAGTATTAGCTAATGCAAGATATCTGCATTTTATATTGGGGAATGGGACTCTGGGGCAAGTGATGCTCCGTCATCTTGGTGCTTGGGGAGGTCAACAGTGGGAGGGCTTCTAATGTCCTGGCCCCACTGGTGGACCTCCTGATGGCACTGGTATTTCTGGCCACTGTGTGATACAGAGTGTTGGACTGGATGGGCCTTTGGCCTGATCCAACATTGGCATTTCTTATGTTCTTTTGGGAAAGTAGTGTGGAGTTACTTTGCAAGTGGATCCCAAAGGTAGAATAAGGCTATAAATGTGTCCTGAAAAGTATAGTAAGTTTAGAAGTTCAAAACGTTAGTGAACCAGTGCCATAGAGAAAAGGCTGTTTCACTCAGCAAAACATAATAGCATTGGTTACAATACATTTGTAAATCATTTTTTTTGCATCATTAGTTAATAATGGTTCATGTAAATGCAGAATAGTAGTAATAATGATAATAATAATAACAATAACAGCTTGGTACAACAAGAATCCTGCAGAGATGCATCTGCAATTCCCAAGAACTTGGCTAGATCTCAAATTGCAGAACACCATCTACCAGTCAAATATCTGACTGGGAGCAGGAATCTTTTTGTAGCAGGAACTCCTTTACATATTAGGCGACACACCCCTAATGTAGCCAATCCTCCAAGAGCTGATGGTAGCCCCTGTAAGAAGAGCTCTGTAAGATCTTGGAGGATTGGCTACATTAGGGGTGTGTCGCCTAATATGTAAAGGAGTTCCTGCTACAAAAAGATTCCTGCTCCCAGTCAGATATTTGACTGGTAGATGGTGTTCTGCAATTTGAGATCTAGCCAAGTTCTTGGGAATTGCAGATGCATCTCTGCAGGATTCTTGTTGTACCAAGCTGTTATTGTTATTATTATTATCATTATTACTACTATTCTGCATTTACATGAACCATTATTAACTAATGATGCAAAAAAAATGATTTACAAATGTATTGTAACCAATGCTATTATGTTTTGCTGAGTGAAACAGCCTTTTCTCTATGGCACTGGTTCACTAACGTTTTGAACTTCTAAACTTACTATACTTTTCAGGACACATTTATAGCCTTATTCTACCTTTGGGATCCACTTGCAAAGTAACTCCACACTACTTTCCCAAAAGAACATAAGAAATGCCAATGTTGGATCAGGCCAAAGGCCCATCCAGTCCAACACTCTGTATCACACAGTGGCCAGAAATACCAGTGCCATCAGGAGGTCCACCAGTGGGGCCAGGACATTAGAAGCCCTCCCACTGTTGCCCCCCCCAAGGACCAAGAAGACAGAGCATCACTTGCCCCAGAGTCCCTATCTATACCTTGTGGCTAATAGCCACTGATGGACCTCTGCTCCATATGCTTATCTAATTCCCTTTTGAAGCCGTCCATGCATAACTGGAATAAGTGTGATATGGTTGCAATCTTCCTGTTCATCGTTGGAGTCACCTGCAGGTTTGCCGATTTCAAGAGGGTTCTTAACAGTTCTTTTTTATGTAATGGCACCATTGTAATAGGAAATGGTCTAGAAAGGGTGTGCAAGTAAAGAACGGGTGTGCAAGTGCAAGAAAGGGTATGCAAGTAAAGAACGGGTGTGCAAGTGCCAGGGAGGCAAGTAAAAATGGTCACTATGAATCTTTGGAAAAAAATTACTAGGTACCAGGGGTCATTTCCTGCAGGAGCGCACAGGAGCGGAGCTCCGGCAGTAAAGAGTCCAAGGGGCGGGCACATGCAACAAGCCCCGCCCCCTGCTCCCAGCAGCCCTCAGTCAGAGCAAGAAGCAGCCAGGTAAATTGCAGAGTTGCAGTCCAGTGGCACCTTTAAGACCAAGATTTATTCAGGTACAAGCTCTCCCTCCTCTGTGAGGGCAGATCTGCACGTAATTCCCCCCCCCCCAATAGCTAGCAATCCAAAACAGTCCAGTGGAGCCTGAATGGTGGGTGTTGCCTTCCGACACTCTTCGGGTGATGTCAGGGGGTGTGGCATATGCAAATAAGTTATGCTAATGAGTTATGCTAATGAGCTCCTGCACCTCTTTTTCTACAAAATGACCCCTGCTAGGTACTATTTACCATTCATACAAAACAAAAATTCCGAGAGTCCCTGAAAGAATTAGATTGAATAAGTGTAAAACCATAGAACAAGATATGCTTCACCTGTAACCTCATCACTACCAAATACCGTGGTGACCAACAGTATGTCTGGTTTCTACAAATAATTAAATAAGTGGTTGTTTATTGGGATACCAGTACAATGGCAGATATTGTTTCATTATGTAGATTCCATTTTGGATACATGGTCCCGTAATCAAAGCTATTGCCACAGATCTGAGGGCAGTCAGCTTATTTTCTTATTGTTTTCTTTCCCCAGAATGCTGAATTCAACCTTTCAAGATGGCCGAACAATACTAGCTATTGATTTTATGGTGTTTACCCTTAGACTGATTCATATTTTTGCCATTCATAAGCAGCTGGGCCCAAAGATTATCATTGTGGAGAGAATGGTAAGTACAAGATTGATCAGAGAGACATGACAAAAAAGGTGTGCGTTAAATCCACACATTAGACTGAAAACCTTAAAGATGCCTGATGTCAGTGCTGCAATACTGAAAGCAAAGAACACACTGTAATGCCTATTTAAAACTAGGAGGGTTCCCAGCAGCATTGGGCTGGGAAATACCTGGAGATTTGGGGAGGGGGGCCGAGCCTGGGAAGGGCTGGGTTTGGGGAGGGACCTCAGCAGGATATGATGCCATTTTCTCCAAGGGAACGGATCTTGGTTGTCTGTAGACCAGTTGGAATAGCAGATCTCCAGGTACCACCTGGAGATTGGCAACCCTAGAAGCCACACACACACACACACACTGACAGGGCTCTTTTTGTAGCAGGAACTCCTCTGCATCTTAGGCGACACACCCCTAATGTAGCCAATCCTCTGAGAGCTTACAGTAGCCCCTGTACGAAGAGCTCTGTAAGCTCTTGGAGGACTGGCTACATTAGGGGTGTGTCACCTAATATGCAAAGGAGTTCCTGCTACAAAAAGAGCCATCTATCTGCCTGTGTCTGTCTA